AACTTGTCCAACTTTGGCATAGCCAAAGAAAAAAAAGTTTTGCTGTGCTATATTTATATATCTCGGCTTTGGAATTGGCAAGAACTAAAACCGTATTATTACGATATCAATGAAGCACTTTAATGTGTCTGGACCGCAAAGTTTGTGGCTAAATTAAATATTAATAGCATAAGCACATAATTATATCAGTAATAAAGTGTCACTCACACGGATAAGCGCTGATTGTGTATTTCCATTTAATAAATCAATTCACCCCAAAGCTATTCCAGATGCCAATGCGTCCGCATGCAAGTCATTTTAAATTTAATCATGCATATGTAATACCAATTGACTCATTTGCATTTCAACATTTTCGCAAATGAAATATGTCAAACGCAATATAAATGAAATGTGCACAACTATGCTGGCTCATTTCGAATACTCTACACAAGTGAAATGAGGAAACTGGGAAAACTTTGCAGACATTGCATAAAATACAGATTAATGTATATATAGCAAAAACTGAGTTGATTTAATAAATTAACCATATAAATTGCAACTAGAAATCAAATCTAATAATTGACAAGTAAAACTCAACTAATCCATTCCTAGAGAGCGATACATTCATTAATTTCTAAACCGTCATGCTGATCAGAATGATTCATAAATTCAAGGTGTGAAATAAATAGTAAATCTATCCTGACTGATAATATAGTGATAGCTTGAAATTAAAATTGAAGCTGTAGGAGGCCAACAGCATTTTGATTTGTAATTTACCTTTTTTATTTTTCTTATTCATCAGCATTACATTCTTCTCTCCTTTTCTGTTAACACTCACTGCCATCACCATAGTGTTAACAGTACCATATCTAGCATTAACAGTCCTGTGATGAAAACTAAGCTAATCCTTCACAGGACTGTTAATGCTACATATCAGACTGTTAACAATGAATGTAGTGTAAACAATATGGTTGTTTCACTCTTACAAAAGAAATTAAAGGGTGAGACTTAGTAGAAAGAAGCCAGAACACGATTGAATGACTGTGTCTTTTAACAGTGAAGCCAGAGCATTAAAGGAGAGAATGAATATGAAGCACTGTTCTTTATACGCTTTGTTAACAGAAAATAATGCTGTATAAATATTTGCATATTCCACGTTATGACCAGAGCATTCCCTCGTCGTACAGCACCAGCAGTGTGACACTTGCTTTTCCCTGCATCGATGACAGCCAATTGTGCGGCGTAAAGTGAGCAGTCAGTAGTGGCAGATACTTAAATGAGAATGTCATTTAGCCAAGAATTTCATCAATCTTCGTTGGGCGCCCGCATCGCCGCGTTGACGCACAAAGCGGCCAGGACATTGGCGTTGTCCTGCCTTGTACGACGATATCTTTTGAGACATAAAAAAAAGGCCTTTGTGTCGCATTTGCGTAATCTTTAAAGCATCCGCATAAAGCAAACGTGAATGCGAGGCATGCAACAGGACAGGACAATGCTGTTGGCATGTGAAGGTAGCCTTACAACAAGGAACAGCATGGCCTTTGCGCCGAGGTTAAATTGTCGCTCTGCCTCTTTCCTAATCTGTCTCTCTCGCTTTGCATTTCATTCTCCCTCTCTCTCTCTCTCTCTCTCTCTCTCTCTCTCTCTCTCTCTCTCTC